CATGTCAGTGCATTTTGTAACTTACACACATACTATGCACGCGATGATTGTTTATCGGATGCAGATTTCAATTTTACAAATGGTAATTATTTTGACAGACCATCCATCGTAATTACTGTTTGTTGTTTTTTTGTAATTTTTTTGTTTTGTGGTGGCTTTTTAGTTTTGTTGTTTGTTCATTGGTCGCGGATGTTGTTTAACCTGTGTCTATGTACACATAAATAAATAAATAAATAAACAATCCCATCACCCCCCTCCGCAAATGCAAAAGATTGAATATCGTTAAATTAGATTTTTTCTACGCTAATATGCAATATATTTAATTCGATAAAATAAAAAAGCGTATCGCATACATACAAACACAGATATTTGGAGAAAAAAACAGGACGATCGATCCAAAGAACACGCTTTTATTCAAATACATTTAACTGTCAACGCCACATGCAATTATTTCAAATTTGGTGACGTAGAATAAGTGGTGGCGCGTAAACTTTACACCTGCTCCGCCTTTTGTTATGAAAATGAGACGAATAGTCACACACTTCCAAATATGGTAAGAGTGTCCATATTTGGTGTGACAGCGGCGCTGTGCTGTGATAATGCAATGCAGAAGGCGTGCCGAAAGTTTGTAATTCGAGCGCTCGAAAACCAAATTTGCCGACGACTCAGTTCCGTAATCGATTAGGGGATTATTCGCTCATATCGTATTTGACTTTCACTTTACTTGAAATATGTGTACTTGAAATATGTGTGACACAATTTCTTCGAATTGTTATTTTTGCTCACCCCACGTGGACATTATTGACACGAAATAGAACAAGCAAAGAACCTGACAACCCAACTGACATTTGACCGTATGACAACACGATATAATAAATTAATGTCTAGTTTTAGTTGCGAATCAGCGCACTTTACAAGTGCACAACAACAGAACTATTCTGTTTATTTTATGTATATAGTGCTTCTATTTATACGAGTGCAGAGGAAGCAACTACGTAATTTATAACGAGTGATTTTGGCAACCGAACCATGTGTACTCATAACACACTTTCCGTTGTACCGGGTGCGTGGGTTAGGAAATCCGGACTTCGGAAATTGATATTTCTGAATAGAACCATGTATTTTACAGTATTGCATCATGAGGCGTCTGAATTGCGGGGCACATCGCAAAGGGGCTCGCACAATCACATGGCCGGTACTTGTAGTACTAGTACTTGTGTCAGTTGTGTTGATGGAGCCATGGAGGTAGATGATGATGGAGCTAAACAAGTTCCACGTGTTGGCATATTGACGTACACCCAGATTAGCTTCTTTGGTCGCGGGATTATATAATTCTTTAAAAAAGTTACTAAAATATTTTTTTTGGCATTTTGCCCATCGATCACATTTACCAGTTTACATATTTTTTAAATCGCATTTTTTAAATTTATTTATGATTCATATTAACCGGGTTGTTGAATACGAGAAACATCCACACAGTCGTACACTATGCGGTCCATAGTCGTGACTTCGGTGATATTTATGATCTACTGAAAAAGAAATAATTGAATACTGTGCTGTATGCTTTGTGGCATATCTGTTGAACTCCTTTCTCTTACCCTTCGGTTTCAAAACTTACAAATAATGTGACAATCCAAACAAACTACAGAATTACTCAAACATTGGAATGGATCTAATCAAATACTTCTTCTCTATAGTCTTTGATCTAATCTACTTTAAGTTGTGGTGTCTGGTAATCTGGCTTGGTTAAATTCCGATCCTTCAATGCGTATGGAGTTATGAGTAATTATCATCGTTATGTTTGCTTTGCAAGGAGTCCTACCCAACGTTACAACAGAGTTTCGAAAAACCACTGGGCTTGTCAGTGTGCCAGTGAGTCACTGGTTCTTTCTTTCGTATTCATAGGTTGTAACACGAATACACGAAAAATGTGCTGACTACGCACTCAAAAACAAACATGAAGTACTTAAAATATCGAAAGATCTGCATTGAAAGACGTTTTGCCCACATGGATTTGTTTTCAAAAACTGAAGGTGTTCACACTAAACAGTGGTCGTGCAAACACTGAATGATCTATTTTATGACAAATACAGCGTATTGAAATTCTTAGAAGTCCTTGCTGCATTGTTGTGTACGTCCTTCTACGTATTTGTTAACAAAAACTTGGATCTTTTAGAGGTTAATGTGACGACGATTACCAAAGATTACCATAGGTTTAAAACGTGACATACGAGTCATAAAAGGACACGAGTTTATTTTAGCAATGTTTTGCGTACACTATAATCAGTTCTAATACTTAGCCAAAATGACGTTCTTAAATTCAACTGAGTTTTTTCCGTCTTCAATTTAACTGTGTCTTGAATCGACACGCCACGATTCTTTCAGTGCTATGAGGGTCTGTACAATTTATATTTGGACTCTGGTTTCTGGTTAATTCGGATTCAGTTTTAACATTGATTGTTACTGTCTATAAGCGCGGTCAGCCACAAAGTTCTCAAAGACCAGTCGTTTCTAAAACTTTTAAACTTTGAGTTTCACGCCGGTGCCGATTATTGTCCTCAGCATAGTCCAATTCAAACAATATTCATTTCATAAAATGACATGAGTTTATTTTAGCAATATGCGACACGCCACGATTCTGTGAGTGGTATGAGGGTCTGTACAATTTATATTTGGACTCTGGTTTCTGGTTACTTCGGCTTCATTTTTAACGTTGGTTGTTACCGTCTATAAGCGTGGCCAGCCACAAAGTCTCAAAGACCAGTCGTTTTTAAAACTTTAAAACTTTGAGTTTCACGCGAAAAAATCGTGCGATCCGGTGCCGATTATTGTCCTCGGCATAGTCAAATTCAAACAGTATTCATTACATAAACCTATTTTGCGTTGATTTGTTTTTGTTTTTCCTAGGTGTTTTTTTTTCTAGCATTGAGTTGGCAAACCTCGTAGCCTTTAGTTTACTCAGCAACTAATGTTTATCACTCAACGACAGCGCTGCTGGTGACGTCACTGATATAGTGTCTGGTTGTGATAAAAGCATGCAAAGGTCATGTCAACTTCGTATTGAAGTTATTGATCTTTGATTTTATTTTTCAAGCGTCCTACTTTAATTTTATTTTCATTCATACTGTACTCGTCAGCTTCAATGTACGTGGCCAATTCCAACTCTCTATGGTGCCAAGGAAACACTCACGTACAACTTTTTTTTATGAGATT